TGCTTTGTTTCCCCGATGTATAACTGGTCGCAGTCCTCCTGGCACTTAACAGCATATACAATAATGCTCTGTTTGTGCCTCTAGTAATATATTTACTGAGAAAAATGTTGACGTGTTCAATACTTATTTTACCCGCTGTATATAAAAGATGACCAAAAATGTTGGAAGTGGAATTTCTTTCCTCAGGATCTGGACTGAAGAATTATTGTGAGCTTGCTGGGAAGATGAAAGAATAGCCAAAAACCTTGTATGACTTAATCCCTGCATTGTTTACACTTTGAGGCCAGGAGCTCGGGGTCGTTCCAACGCTATGAGGAAAATTTCAATGAGGTTAAGATCAGATTGCAATACAGCTTTAGCCAACAAATAAATTCAGTTCTGTTCTCATCAATTTGTTTGATCTCTTCTAATTTCCCTATTTTTTTCCAAAACAAGCTCTGTTGAAATTGATGCAAATTTGTTCTCGTTTTCAACATCTTGTTTTATATGGCGCTTTGATTGTATTGTTTTTATTACACTGTATTGTTTTTAATAGCTTATATTGTTATGTATCATATTGTCTGTCCAAAACAGAGCTCTCTTGAAAATTAGTCCTTGTGTCTCCATGAGATCACCTGTGCAAATAAAAGTAAATGCTAAATAAAATACTCATGAACATTTTTTATCTCGAGATACATACTGTACAGTATATTGTGTACTGTAGTTTGGTTGAAAATGTGCTTTGTTGTTCTTAATAGAAAAAAAAACTATTAGTCTTTTCTGTGTTTGTTGAGAACTTATTGTGGAAAAAAAGAGACCCCTTTGAGTCAGTTTATCTCTTGTGTCTTATTTGATTTCTAATTCTTTAAAACTTAAACATGTAGTTACAAGATTTAAAAATGTAAAAAATCCAAAATTTGGTCATCGTGATATTTCTTTTACTAACCTCTATTTAACAATGCAAATACATCTTTTTCAAAGGAGGTCTGGCTGACAGCCTGATGTGCATATTGTGTGTGTGTGTGGGGGGGGGTGGGTTTCCACTGGGAGGAAATTAGAGTAAATGGAGAAAACCCACACAAGCACAAGGAAAACATGCAAACTGCACACAGACATACAAGGGAAATGAACCAGGGATTGAACCCAGGACCTTCTTGTTGTGAGGCAGCAGTAACCACTGAGCCACCGTGCTGCAAATAATATTTGGGTTTAGAAAAGAAAAACTCACCTGTGGATATATTAAAAAAAACCTTCTTTACATGATTCATTTCTACTTTTACCCAGGCATTTAAATTGGAAATTGACAATCACCCATTTTAGATTTTCTCTAGACTGTTTTTTAGATGTTTAGAGTGTTTCTTTTTTTTAATGCATCGATTGATTCTTGGCTGCGTAACGATAAGAGCAGTGCAGTCCAAAGTCATTTAAACACATGCGGTGTACCACCAACCAMCTCAGCACTGATAATATGTACCTGCAGGACAATCTGTGGAGCTAAACCAAGTCCAAGAAGAAGAAACTTGTTTGTTCAGTGATTTAAAAGTTAAAACAAGAATTTGCAAATGAGTTCTAAAATGGACTTGAAGCCAGCGAAGGGCCACTAAAACTGGTGTGATGCGCGTTTGTTTGTTTATGAGGGTTGACAACCTTACAGTCGAGTTCTGGACAATCTAAAGACAGTTGACCTCCTTTTTTGTTTAAACATGTAAATAAGCTGCTTCAGCAGTCCAAACAAGAAGAAATAAATGAGAAAGTRCCATTGGTCTGCTTCTGACAAGAAACATCTTAGTTTGAGATATTCCTGAGATAAAAATAACAATTTCCAGTTGTGTTCCCTCTGTTGTTGTTAAATGCCATACATACAGCGGGTAAAATAAGTACAGTGGTTTGCAAAAGTATTCATACCCCTTGAACTTTTCCATATTTTGTCACATTACAAC